GAGCCTACCGTGTTCATTTAATCCGTGAATGGATAGTGTACGCTTTTTGAATGTAGTACACTAAATTTTGAATTTTGACTAAAACTAAACATAAACATGATATTTCGAAATACATATATGTACATATGAGGCCATGAGAGGCCTACTTAATATACACACCTATGCTGTAATCCGTCGTAGATTCGATTTTGCTACGAATCGTAAAATTGGTATGCTGAAATCCGCGTTGTCGTATCGTAATTTCGAAATTCAGAGGCCATCTTCGAAATTCGTGATGTTGGTATGCCTGAATCCGACGTCGGAAATTTCGTACGTGGAGCAACTAGTGTCGGAGCGAAAGAAATTGTTTTAAAATATCAAAAAATAAAGTGCGTAAACGCAAAAATATTGATTATTATTAAATATTTCCAATATATCAGGCCGAAGATCACAACAAATCGGACGCAATGCGAAAAAATGGTGGAATGCATGAGCTAAAGGCCGGACATTGCTCGAGGCTTTGCAAAATGTTTATACTTTTTGTCAATGTTTTTGAGAACGTGGATTGCGCCTACCCCACATCAAAATCTTTCCCCAACAGCATGTTGGTAGCTTTGATACCGTTGGTACCGATAATGATTTTACACATCGCCCAAGCTTTTCCTCCATAATTATTAAAACGCTTTTAAATGCGTCTTTGTTGATACGGAAATTTTTCACAAGCTAAATGGATCAGAACTACTAGCAATATCCTTTGTATATTAATGCAACTGTTAGCTGCAGCTTGTTCTTTCTCCTGAGACAAAAGTGCTCCGAAATTCTTTTCAAATAACGACAAAAAACATTTTTCCAATTTCACTGTTCACTTGCGATTATATTTATTTTGTTTTGTTTTTGTCAAAGTAGCTGACTAAGGCCCAATTTCAGATGGCCTATTTAAGTAGAGATTGTTGATTAACTTCCACTATTCATTTTCAGATCATACATTTAATCTGCACTTAAATGGCCAATATTGGCTATTTAAATATGAGATATTCAACCCTGTGTTTGTACCAAACAACCAGCTGTTCAGTACAAAATATAAACAAACGAGCAAATGCAACAACAATTTCAAGAAACAAGCAGCAGTGCAGCCAATTGTTTGGCATATTTAGACAAAGTTGATCTGAAACCCAACGAAAGTTAAATGGCATTTAAACAACAATCCACAATTGAACTTAAGTGCCATTTAAATATACATTTGAAATTGGCCCTAAGAACTTCAAGTTTCGCGCATTTAGCTGGCAGTGCCGTTGATAGTTACGATCGGATTACAGCATACCAATTTTCGATTTTTCGGAACGGAACTACGAATTCGGAACTATGAATATTCGGATTACAGCATACGGGTGATAGTCTCATATGTGATAAATTTTTACAGATCTACTGAACGGTTCATCAAATTAAGGAATAAACTACCTTTATTTTAAAATTTATCACATTAGAGACTATTTTAAGTAGGTAAGTACAAACAAAAATTTTTTGGGTTAGGCCACTTATGTACATATGAAATCGACCGGTCAAAACACTTACATTTCAAGTTGACCCGTGTAAAGGCAGCTTTAGGATGATTGATTATTCACTTTTTTCGAAACCCGTTTTTAGAATAATTCGAAAAGGACGGCTCCAATTTTAGACATTAATTCGGATTGGCCGATTATATTTTAAATACAATAACAATACTTACAGACCAAAGTTACTTTAAATTTATTAGCAGCAGATAGCTTTTGTCTAAAAAAAAACAGCAAAATAAATGCAACGTATGAGATGTGACATACTGTTTTATTCATTTAAGCAAGCGCAGTTTAAAACTTAATTTCAAGTGAGAAATGTTCCAGTGTTTACGTTCTCGAAAAGTGTATTAACCCTCTACAGCATACGAACCCAAATATGGTGTCAAAATTTTGGCAATAACTCGAGTTACAAAAATGTATCAACCCATTTAAATGCATTGAGAAGTTAACTACGAACAACGGAACGTAATTGGTTTGCCTGTGGTTAAGATGACATTTGAGTATAACCTCACTTGTGTGTTCGCGGTCGAAAAACGTCTATTCGTCTGCGCGCAACTCAAATGCAAAAAAGCGAGACTAATGAAAAACTCAAGTAGCTCTTGTAACATAAAAAATATTTTCTTAATTCCCACATCCTCTTCTGTGTCAGTCAATAATTAGTTTACCGCTAACCAACTTTTTTCTATTGTTTTCACTATGGATGTGCCGGATAACCGGATTCCGAATATCCTGTAAAAAGTAAGAGCCGGATTCGGATGTCCGATCGGATATCCGGTAGACTGCTACCATTAATAAATTTCACAATATTGTTATATTAGGTTTGTTTGTTTAGCTAGATTATCTGCTTTTTCGAGCTGAACTATGTAATACGTAATTAAGAATACAAAATTTCTCATCTGAAATCCAAATTATGATGTAATCCCTTATTAAAAAAAATAACTTCTCTGTCTGCAACCCGGATATCGATTATTTTTGGTAAATAGAGGAGAAACGTCAAAGACAAAAGATAAACAACAATGAACACCGCTAAAAAAAAACGCGTGATTGTTTTTTTTTTTAAATGTGATGAAAATCGAAGTAATGTGCATGGTTACATATCTTTTTGCTTCCCGAATCGCCCCGTAAGGCTCCATTGTTGCAATATTTTCTGACATACGTTTCAAAACTCGTTTTCTTTTCTGACATCAACAAATCTAAAAACTGGGTAGATGGTGAACTAAATAATTCGAAAATATAAATCAGTTAGCATAGAGAAACCTGCTGAATCATATGGAAAACGTCGAATTCTAGTGAAATCTTTTATTGAAGAGGTAGACAGGATATTCTGCAATGCTTTGAGGAAATCGTCAATGGCTCTGATACTAATTCCAGTTTTTCTAGTGATGTGGATAGCCAAACGATGGAGAAATGAAGAAATATTTACAGCTCCCTTATACCCAGACAAGAATAACCTTTAATTTGATGGAATCTTAGACAGCCTCAGTTGTTGTTGAAATTGTTGTAGCGGCTACAACAACCCCGCCTAGATCTGCTAGTATCTCAGTCGTTGTCGTCAAGCTCCACTAACGGAATATGCAATACAGTCTCTATAGGGTCTGTCCATAGGGACAAAGGCGTTAGCTGTGTGGGCTTTCCGGGCATGCGAAAAGATTTTTCGAGTCGTGGGGTGTCTCCCCGCACTTATTTGGCACATTGCATCTAATCTGCTCGGATATGAGTTCAACCTACTGCAGTAGCCAGAGCGATATTGGACTATTGCGGTCCGAGTCTCCCGAGGCAGACGAAGAACGGAGTTCACAGGTCTGGAGTCTACGTAACTTGAGACTGACTCCCTGTGAATGCCGCTCAGGGCCTGTCGATATGTTGACGGCTCCAGAGGTTGCCTTATGAACCTCTGGACTTCGTCAGATGGCCGCTGTAGTGAAGGGGTTAGCAGTGCGCGCCAACATTCCGCAGGCCCGGGTTCAAGCCCGGTTCAACCCAACATAAAAAAAAAACAAAAAAGTGTTTTCCTAATAACGGTCGCCCCTAGGCAGGCAATGGCAAACCTCCGAGTGTATTTTTGCCATTAAAACAGCTTCTCATAAAAATACAATCGCCGTTTGGAGCCGGCGTAAAATTGTAGGTCCCTCCCCTTGTTTGACAACATCAATGCGCACGCCACAAATCAGAGGAGAAGCCCGGCCAAGCACTAACAAATGTGTAAGCACCTATTCTATAATTATTATAGTCGCAAAGAATTTCCAAATTTGTTTACTTTGGCAATGAAGAGTGTTTAGTGCATCGGGTAGCATTTATGTTTAAAATAGAAATGGGTTCTTGCCCGGTAATGCGGAAATTCTTCTTTTCATAATGAAAAATATATGTATAAATATTTAGATACTATTAAATTTTATTATAAAAATGTAAAAAAATCCGAACTGGGTTGTTAAATAGAATCTTCTATAATCGAAATCTGGAAATAGAATATTTTATAATTGAAGTCGGATAACAGAAAAAAGGCCGATTAAGCCGGATTCCGGATATCTACCGGATACCCGGCACATCCCTAGTTTTCACAAAATTTTGCTTTTATTTCTTTGCGCAATAAAATTTTAAATAAATGACTTAGAATAGTTTTTTCTTTCGATATAGGTTTACCTCAAAAAATATCGATATTAGCGATTTGGTGTTCTAGCAATTTTTTGTAGGAAATTGAATGACCTAAAACTTTGTGATTCGCAATTTCTCTGTAGTTCTTGTTGTTTACGAGATAGTGGCAAACAAACGGGAATTTCATGAAAATAATGGGTTTATTGACCCGTATAAACTCGCTGGTAGGAGTTTGAGTTACGCCGCAATGGACACTTTTGTAGAACATTCAATTTTGAAGAAAACCCATCATTAGCCATGATTATACCATAAAATTCCTCTGAGCTATAGAGTTCTGAAGAAAAACAATCAAAGTTTACTTGTATTTTATATGGGAAATCTTTGCACGCCTTGGACGTGTACTCAATGCTAACATTACGGGTTCAAACTTTCAGGGAGCGTTTTTAGGTATTTTCCACAAAATTTCGAGGTAGGAGGAAAAAAAAATAAATAGTCGAAAAAAGCACCCTAATGTAGATACATATTTATATATGTATTAAAGCAATAGCAGTTTTGAGTAAAACCCAAAACAGGTTTAAATGCTAATTTGCGGTTTATTTTGCATTTGACAGAACGAAAAACTCAAATCGTTTCGTTTTGTGTGTAATTATATAACCAACATTTGTCTGATTTTGCAATAATACGCATGACGTGAACATGCCTACAAATGCATTATTATTCCGAGTTTGTGTCTTAAGTCTTTTGTTAACAGCAAGTGGCAATTGCTGATCAAACAATCTTTTGAATTTTTCTTGTTGTTTGTTTAATCGGTTAGTGACCGGCACTTGTGTTTATTAAGTCTATTAAAAGTTGTTGTACATTTACCTCCAATTTCAGTCGGATATCTCATCGGGCACAACGAAAAATCCCAAGTTGACTGGCATCCCACAAATCGACTACATCTGGGATCCAAACCTTCCACGCGAGCTGAGAGGGTAAGTTTTAAATATCCTTACCATTAAAAAAATATTTGTTCATAAATTTACACATATCGGTGCTTATCGGATATCTACAGTTATAACCTTTCGAGCTACCCATTTTTCTCAACTGTACCGCCTGAGGACGACATTCACTTCAAATGTGATGGTCTGCATGATGGCTTCTATGCTTCCATTGAACATAAATGTCAGGTAAATACGTTTCTCGCAACTTTAAGTGAACTTACAGTATACAATATACTCGTATGATTACACATAAGTGCTTAATAAGGCCGAATAAACATAAGGCCAGAAATGACCTTGACCCATTAATATGTACTATGAATTATACAACAATAAACTTACCTATACTCTCTAACAGATAAGTCGGTGTAGAAATAGTAAAGTATATGGACATACATACATTTTCGTTTGCCAATTAATCCAAAATATTTTAACAATCGCTTTTTATAACTACTAGTTAATTTAAGGAGATAATGAGCAAATCTCATTTCGTTTCTTTCGACATATGTAGGTATGTATGTATTTAGTAAAATTGCAAGCTCGTACCCATGTGCGCACATATGCATGTGTAGAAATTGTGTGCAATAGAAATAAATCTGCGTTTGAAGGTTTTAACCAACATATTAAGAAGAAGAGTTTATAGCAAAGAGATTTATGATTAAATTAAATATTTCTGCATCATTTCACAAGGAAAATTTTCCAGGATATAGAAGGATGCGAATTTCAAGAGAAGATTGTTAAAAACTCTCTTAATACTTTTCTTTCTATTGATATATGCACGTACTTTTATTTAAAAAGCTGAATTTACCGAACTGTGTTATCAGCATATCACTTCGTACTTTCTACCAGCAGTCAGTCTATCTGGTTTGTCAAATGAACAAACTAAACCGCTACTACTAAGCTCTAATAAACTGTACTGAAACATTTGTATGTGTAAACATTAGGGTGGTCCAAAAAAATAGCAAAGTCGGAATTTTAAAGCTCTCACCCACTAGGATTGTTCTAAACCGAAAAAAATATACCCTTATTTTTTATTTTGAAATCAAAAGATATTTAAAGGTCGCCCATGCGCTCAAAGTTTTTCATGTATTTTATATGGGATAAACCACTTTCGTAGAAATAATATAGAATTCTTGATAACCAATATTTTTCGATCGAAAAACTCTGGTTCTCTTCAAGAGACTTCCAATAAAAATACCCAATTGTTTATTTAAGCATTTTTTAATGTATAAGACTTTTTATGGGATTTTTGGCGGACCTATAAGAAAGATATAATTACTATAAAGAAATGGTTAAATAAACAATTGGGTATTATTATTTGGAATCTCCTGAAGAGAAAATGAGTTTTCCGATCGAAAAATATTTATTTTCAGGACTTCTATACCATTTCTAAGCAAAGTTGTTTTTTCCCCATATAAAATATATGGAAAACTTTGAGCGCTTTGAAGGACCTCTAAATATAATTTTTTGCTTTTCAAAATAAAAAATATGGGTCAATTTTTTCGATATAGAACAATTCTAGGGGGTGAGAGCATAAAAATTCCGACTTTACTTTTTCACATGTACATATGTATGTAGTTTTGGACCACCCTATTATATATACATAACTATGTACATATGTATGTGGTATAAAATTGTATACATTAGTCGCATTTGACCAGTGTCGAATTGGAAGTAGCCAACTGTCTATGACTGCATCAAAAAACATGTTGTCAAGTTGATCTTGACCTCAAAACTTGTGTAGCTGCTTACACTTTTGTTTTTTGCTGCAGTCAAAACTCTAAAGTAAAAATTTTGCTAGTTTTGACAAAACATTTTATAATGAGAAATACATATTTTTAAGTGCAGATGAGACTAACAGTTAACATTTCTCAGTGGGTTAATGCGTAACGTACTCCATTTCTGAATGGTAAGGTAGAGATATGCTACCCTGCGGGAAATATATCTAACTACAAGATAACTTGAAGTTGATTAGGAAGGAACTAAAGGTCACTATTATCTGAATATTTTCTTTGAATAAGATAAACAAAATATATTTTTGCTTTTTTTTACTTTATTGTTTATTTAATTTATTTTATTACATTTCATATTTGCTTACATAACTTCAAAATGATAATATAAAATTTCGATCTTCCTTTTATTTGTCGGCAATTCGAAAAAGTATTTGTGAAGTGCAGAAAGAAAGTGTATTCAAAGTAAAATTTGTTGTTTTAAGAAAACAATCTCCCGATTACGTCCGCATTACTCCTGCATTACTTTTCAACTAGTTTCAAGTTAGCTTTTTGTAGCTACTATAAGTTATATATTTTATAAAAATCCCGCAAAAAAGCTAACTCCAAGTTGGTTATTTTTTATCTTTACTTTTTATAAAACATCTATGTATTTCGAGTTTTGATCATATGTACACATTAGCGATGCCAAAATAAGCGGAATATTGTGATCTCGGTATTTCGGGATATTTTTCAAGTAATCCCGGGATTTCGGGATCTATCCCGGGATTCATATTGAGACATAACTCTTATGAATATGAGAAAAAAATCAATAACTGAAAGCATATAAACACACCATGAAATAAAACTATTTAAAATTTACGATAAACTGATTGTAAAACTCACATATGTATATATTCATATTCAACATAAAATGTGTTTGGTACGACTGTGAGGGCTTTTAAGTTTTATAAATAATAATTTTAAGGTAGAAGAATAAACTTAATAATAATTATAATCATTAAATTTGATCGAAAAAATAAAAATTAAGTAATAAGAATTTCTTTTGAGCGAAAAAATGAAACTCTAATTATACTGGTTTACAGCATATATATTTTATGGACGCAAGCTTTATTTAATTGGTGTGGAGTCCACTGATGTATGTATATGTACATTAGACCGTTCGTTAAAAATAAAATTTGGTTTGCCGGGCGGAAAAAGATGTGTTTTGGTCTAAAAATAAGCTGTGCAAAATTTTATTCGAATATGATAACTCTAAGTACTTGCGCGTTGCATTTGAAAATTTAGAAAACCATATGCATTCTGGGAAAAAATTTTTTAACAAAACAGTTGAAAGTCGTGAATTTTATAGTCATTTGCCATGTAAAATAATATACACAATTTGAATATGAGTTCAAAAATTAAAAAAGTAGAATAGGTTTTAAGAATTTGCGAAATTATCGTTTTTTTCAAATTGAGAAAACAGCATTTTCAAT